AAAAAAAAAGCATATGATGAAAAAAGGTCCATAAATCAACAAAAAAGTTTTGTATCAATGTTTGTTATGAAGAGGAAAAACTAAAGTATTTTTAAGTATTTTTGGAAATTTTTTTTACTCCTTTCTAGCACATAGAAAATTTTGGTTAAAAATTTCTTTTTTTACAACAGTGCGAAAAGACTAAAAAAAGGTTTGCTTTATTTTGTGCTTTTCCTGAGGAAAACGCGTTAATTTAGGAAATTCTTGCAAAAATCAAATAATTGTCGGATTTTAATGAAACTTTCAGGACTTATTCACAAATGAATGAAATTATCTTTGGAATTATTTTTTTTTTTTTAATCTTGTTAAAAAGAGTTTTAACATGTTTGCACCCACTTAGATATTTTCATGAAATTTCGAGAAATTAAATCTTCAAGCATGGGATTTGTTTTATTAGTTATAAACAGGACTCTTTGTAGAAAGTAAATCACCAGTTTTTTTTTTTTTTTTTTTTTTTTTTTGTAAAACATTTACCCCATATCATAGAAAATCTGCTCTGAATTATAAAAAAAAAAAAGTAAAACTATCTAATTAGAAAAGCTTTCGCCTGTTTTTGTAAATACGTTATACTAAGGACATTTTGTGAAGAAATAAATATTTTTCGATGAATAATATAGTTTTACAAATTTTTTTTCCCATTTTTAAAATTTTTTCATTAACTTCTTAATACTTCAAAAATCGTTTAAAATCTTTATTGCTTTCAAGCATGTAATGCAATAACGTTAATGAAAAAGTAAATTTACGAATCGAAATTTGAAAAGCACATAAGTCGTTTGACCCCAGATATTTTTAAAATAATTTAAAAAAATAATTTTATTGAAAAAAACATTCATAATTTCTACGTATGGAAATGTTGTATACATGACATAATCCTTAAAGAAATTTAAACAATTATCTAATTAAGAAGGTATGAAATAAAATTAAAAAAAAAAAAAAAAAAAAAATAGATATTACATAATTGCTGAATAAAAATTAATATTTAAAAAGTACTAGTTAAAAACGAAAAACCGCGTTCGCTTAATTTTCAAAAATTGTCAATTTTGATCATCCATAGTAATCTGTCATCACCACGTCACAATCGATTTCTTTGATAAATTCAGACACATCGTTAAGAAATGTTTGGATACAATTTTTTATGCTATAAGTACTGTTTGTTTCATATCAGATTAATTTAACTTTAAATTTTCTAATTTTACTCAAATAACATGTCAAAAATATATAAATTTATTTTAGGAAGAAATTTGAAATCAAAATTTTGTTTGTTTACAAATTTCTTAAAATTTAAGAAAATGGCCGCTTTTAAGAAAATTAAACAAAAATTGAGCATATATTTGACATTCCACTCTATAATTTCTGTCTGAAAGACACTAGAATATGTTACTTACTGTAAGTAATAAATTTAATGCTTTAGCTCTCAATTAATAACATTGAGACAAAACTTTGTTTTTGTTGATTTATGAGCCTTTTTTAATCGTGATATGCTTTTTTTACGTGACCTAATGGAGGAACCTTATCTATATATATATATATATATATACACACACACACGTGTGTTTGCAGTAATTTTTATGGTTAGTAATTAATGAGTCCTAGCACTGAAATGGCTCTAAATTTTTAGTTTAGAACTTAGCTTATTTAGAATAACACTGGTTTTTCTTTTGCATGCTATTGCTTTTACTTTCATGCTTTGTCAGATATTTTTTCCCTCCCGACTTTTTTTTTTTTTTTTTTTTTCCAGGATAATCCTCCTTACAACAAAGGGGCCTTCAAGATATTCATAGAGTTCCCAGCAGAATATCCGTTCAAGCCACCTAAAATTACATTTAAGACCAAAATCTATCATCCCAACATTGATGAAAAAGGCCAGGTGTGTTTGCCTATTATCAGTGCAGAAAACTGGAAACCAGCTACAAAAACAAATCAAGGTAATGTTTATTGGAGTAGGGATTAAAAACTTTTTTTTTTTTTTTTTAGTGAAACTTTTAAACATTTTACAATGTTTTTAATTTTGGTATGTTGATTAATCTTTAAATTTAATGGAAAAACTGAATTGACTTTATAATTTAGTGCCTTATTTCTGATAATTTGCCAAAATAACATTGTTTCAGTTGTTGACTAGTTTATCTGTCAACACAAAGAATCTGCTTAGGTTGATTTGACAATAACATGTAATCTGTCACCGTAAGCAACAGTACTTCATTTTGTTACTTTTAAATTTAGATATCACATGGAATCTTTGATAATAGTATCCTAATATGGATACTATTAAAACCAGTTGACTTCACTTGTTTACCGACTGATTTAAATAATGCTGGCTTTTGCTTGTTTTCAGTGATACAATCGTTGGTGGCACTGGTGAATGATCCTGAACCAGAACATCCTCTTCGTGCTGACTTGGCAGAAGAATTTACCAAAGATAAGAAAAAATTCATGAAGAATGCTGAGGAATATACTAAGAAATTTGGAGAAAAGAGACCAGCTGACTAAGCAGTACAGTTGAATGTGTATATTATCTGACAGTACTAAAACCTGTGCCATGTTTGTAGTCTCCTTTTATGTGAGTGTAAATCTGTGCTCCAACCCTATGAGGAGTGCTATACACACACACGCACACATACATCCATACTTGCATGCACACACTCATATTAATAATAATGTATCTTAAGTTGTGGAGTTGATAAATATGTCAAAAGATCATACTTAGATTTGCCATTAGAACCTTCATGCTTTTTCTAGCTTCTGTCTTTAGAAGCTTCTAGACTCTGACTGAAGTGTCTGATGTCATCTTGGAGGACAGACCTTCTGTAAGTGAATGTGGACAATTCTGCAGCAATACTTGATCTAAATGATTCCTTGATGTTACAAAATCTTCATAACTCATGAAACTGAAATAAAACCTTAATGAACAGGATGGCCCTAGAAACTTGTCTTCTTTCACTCCTAATACTTATGTTGTCTAATACTTATATTGTCTTATTACACACACTCTGCACATTTAAACCTTAATGAAAGTTAAAGATCTCATATTGAAGATGAGCAGGATTAGCTAATTAACCCCCCCTCCCGTCAAACTTGGGGTTCCTTCTTCATTGAAAGAAGTTGATGACGATTTCCATTTTCCTGTAAATGAATATTACAATTGAAACGTTCAGCTGAGATATTGCAGATTCCTTGACATGCCAATACTCCGAGTTTTGCCGACATGCCATCAAATGGTTTTGGGCTTGCTTTATTTAAAAAAAAAAAAACTTAAGACCTTTGTCAGAAAACACTAACCCCATGAGAATATTTAAGCTTTACATAGTGCAATAACACTAGATGAAAAAATTCCTCTTTGTAACTTAAATTGCAAAATAATTTTTATCATTTGGAGTTGTTAGGTTAGAGAAATGTTTTCTAGATAACAAGAGTTGAATAAAGCCAACTTGCAGTGGTGTTGGAGATGTTTAACCCCCACCACACACTTTTTCTTAATAAATTGTTTGACCATTTGAAAAAAATCCAGGTGAAGAAAACTTTGGTTGTTAATTCATTGCATGAACCAACTTGTCTGTATAACATTTTCCTTAAGTCAACATTTATTGACTAGGAATCTGTTCAGTATTAGCTGTTGAATTTGTAAACAATCAATGTTGGCTGAGCATGTAACACTCCTCCCTGCATTTGATCACAAGTGTATAGTGTGGTTGGGGAAATTAGATAGCTGTTTTCAAATTAAAATAAAATGTTAAGTAAACTAGTGCTGTTAGTCTAATCAAATCAGTTGCGAAATTATTCTTGGCAGTCTTAGATGGAGATTCATTATTCACACCAATTTGTTTTTTTTTCTCTATGAATAAATATGTAAATGACTTAAAAATCCATCTTGTTGCCACCAATCACTTTTGCATTTATTTTTTTTTTTTTTTTGTAACAGTGGGTTGAGTTTTCACTCTTGAGTGGGTTTTTTTAAATTTTCAATTTTTACATAGACAATATTTAGTCTGGCTAGTGAACTACTCTTTCAAAAACAATTTTGGCTGTTCCTTCTAGCCTTCTTCAGGAAACTGCACGAGGAGTTCAATCAGAAATGTGCTTGTGTAGATTGCATTACTAGGCCAAGTACTACAGACCAATAAATCTTACACTGATTCCAACTTTTGCAAGTGTTACTTGCAATTTGTAAGCTTTTTTTATTATGACTATAGAAACTAGATCAGTTACTGAGTCTTTTCCTCTTGAGTTAAATACAATTTTAAGTGCAAGTATATATACAAAGATATTTATTTCAATTGTTAAAATTACAAGGTAACCGCAAGTTGAACCATTAAGTTCAAATGCTACACATTAACAAAGAATCTTTAGTAACAAACATGGACAATGGGAATAAATAATTTTCCTTATTTAAGAATAGCATAAATATTACAGCTAGAATGAAATGTAAAATGAATGATTTAAATAAGATCGGATCAGCTTGTGACTTCCACAAAACCAATATTAACAATGATGGAATGAATCTGATAAAATGTAATGACAGATAAGTATCTTCACCATTAGGATATTAAGTCTTGGCTGAAAGTTGTTTCAAGTCCACTGTTACTGATAAGAGTTGAGGAAAAAGTCCTATTATGTGGGTAAACCGGGCACCTTCTTGGGTTTCAGCTAGAGAGGATAACTGGCAGATTTGTCCTGTGTAAAGCATCTTGACCTCTTGCAGCAACATGGCCAGCTTTTGACTGTTGTTGATTAAACAACATAAAAGGCAGTAAATGGAAAGGAACATGTAACCACCCCACTCCAATGTTAGTTGAATGCACAATCTCAGTCACTGTGTCCATGTTAAAAGCTAGCTGTAAAAGATATTTTATTTCTTATGTGGAACTTCTGAGAGTTGTTGATCGGAACTGGTATTTCAATTTTCAGGTCATTTCATAATGGGACCAGGTTGCTCGCCTTTGTCGTTTGCTGACATCTGTTGCTAGTCACATGGAACGTCGCCGCAAAATATATTTGCCTTTCTGGAGCTGGGATAAGCAGATCCGAAGTTTGCTGTTATTGTCGCATCGTTTCACCCAGATCTAGAAAGGAAAGAAGAAATTAATAAAATCTTTTTAACCAAATCAAATTTTCACTTAACCTCTTTGACCACATTGGAGATTCAGAATGTAACGTTTGCTGATTTCTTATTCCAAGGTGGTAGCTAATAACATTACTTGATAGTTTTTTGTTTTTTTTAATTTAAAAAAAAAAAAAAAAAATCAGTGTACCAAAATTAAAAATACATTTCTTTTAGTCCACTAGGAAATTTCTCTTTTTTGTTTTGATGCAAATTTTTTTTTTTTTTTTTTTACTTTTCAGTGTAGACTATATAAACACACCATGTCAAATAAACTGATACATGTTAACTTGCATTTGACCACTTGTCCCTGTCACTGCAACTGTTCTTGTATTAAAAGATGCTCTTTGGAATATCTTCAATATCAATGATGTCAGCTTCCTTTTCAGACTGACAGAAAGCTTTACCTATACACAGAGAAAGAGGGAGAAAAAAAACAAAAAAAAAACACACACTACAAATCTTTCCACACCTACCTCCACAGTCCCAATGGTGCTAATTATCCCAGTGATTTTTTCTATGTCTTTGGCTTCAACATATACAGGTTGTCCTTTGTGGAACCTGCAAGAAAACAGGTTTGATGAAAATAAATAAAACCATCCAAGATAGCAGATATTGAAAATGACAGAGAACCCAGAAATAAATGAAACATGAACTAAAGAAAAGCCATTTATGTATTGTAACACTGATTATATTTATTTTTATATTAATATTGACATACAGAGATACTTTTATGAATTTTACCCTACAAATTGGATGCATTGAAAGAGTGGGATCATATTTTGGATAAATGTTTACATTTCCTGAAATTTGTTCATATATATTTAAAAAGCACAGGTGGCAGTCTGAACCTTGGTTTTCATTTTGATATGTCAAAATGGGTTTTAAATAAATTTGCATAAAAAAAAGTTATTGTTTTCAGCCACACCAGTATGTTGGACAAGTAAATTTGAGTAAAATCATCATGTCAAATTTTACCATCTTTTGTCATAATAGAGGCGGCCATCTTCAATCTTAGCCTCCATAGTTAGGTTGCCATCCATATTGTTAGTGGGAGACATGGGCTTCTTCTGCAATGGACGGCTCGGCATTTTGTTGAGTGTCTTTAAATCTTCAATGATTTCACTTTCATCCAGGAAATAATTAAGCTGAGGTAGACAGAATTAAGGAATTTCAACACGTGCCATCTTTCTAAGCAAAGTTGAGAAACCCTATGTATGTGTACACACAAATATCAAATCAATCATAACATAAAATTCACTCTTAATATATAAATTTCTATTATGTATTAACTAATTCTACCACATTTTGGCTAAAGTATCCTTCACATATATAATTCATCTAGCAGAGATTCCTTATATTCACAGAGTTGTGTGTCAGTAAAATCAATTAGATTTGCAAACTAAAAACCAGCAAATAAGCTCATTTGTTTTTTGTACATTTTTCAAATTGGTAGTTTCTTGCTTTTTGCTTTGCTGAATATTGAACAAAACAACAAAAAAAAAAAGCTGCTGATTAGGAGCCATTTTTCTGGGTTCATTGGCAGAAAGTGACCTTACACCCCCCTCCTATTGACTGTATTTATTTGAATGAAATTCAGTCAAAAGCCTAGCACCCTGCATGATTGTGCTCACTGATGAAATAGTAATCAGTTTGGAGAGAGCACTTTGTTATCACCATCACAATTTTTATTCATTGGGAACCATAAAGTATCTTAAGCAATAATGATAAATTTAAGAAAAAAAAAAAAAAAAAAAAAAAAGGCCCAGCACTACATTATAAGAAAACATTAGTAAATTGCTATAAAGAATTTTGCAATTTCTAAGTGTAGCTCAGATGTTGCACAAGGCTGCAGGTATGGTGCAACCACTCACTGGTTGCATCATACCTCAATCCTCACGATTGAACTCACTACTACTTTGACCATCACTTGATAAATGGAAACCCAGTTGAAGTAAGCAGAACAATAAAGAGTTAGTAAAGTCTATTGAGACTGAAGAGGGCAGGAAAATGAACTTGCTGAATTGTTCACAAAACAATGTTTAATGCTGATAAACCAGTCACCACTTCTTGGAGAAAAGAGGTGCAACCAACATGTACCCAAGATTGTCAAGGTGCCCCTATCCATATGTCACCAGAAGACATATGGATAGGGGCACCTTGATAATGCCTTATGGAGGTAGCAGTTTTCATTAGGGGGCAGAATGTCTGACGAGCTATAGAAAGATCCCCTGCTGTTATATTGGCCAGGGAAGAGAGAAAAGAAAGTTCAATACACTAATATAGTTAATATCCAATGATATTCTTTGAAATGTGAAGCTTACGGTAATAATAGAATAAAAAAAGGTTTGAGAACAACTGAGCAAGAAGACAGATTCATCTTGATAAAGGTGGAAGAGATGAAGTTGATTTTAACAGATCTCTATATCTCTCTCTCTCTCTATATCCCTATCTCTCTATCTATCTAAGGAAAAAAAAAATTGATTAACCTAAGTAAATTGTATTTCTTAGCCCTGTAAGAGAGGAAAAAAAGGAATTTGGTCCTTTTATAAGTCGTGAGGTATGAAAGGATATCTGGTGAAGGTTTTCTGCGTTTTTCAGGAAGTGGCAGAGGATCATTTGGTCGCCGACGTAATTTACGTGTCATCACAGGTTTCACTTCCATTGAATCTGAAGAGGAAAAAAAAAAAAATCACATGTTAATCATTTTTGCAACTTTCAAATGTTGAAATGGACTAACTCATTTTATGAGATGATATTTGAGAATGAAATTAGTACATAATCAAAACAGTCCTGCATTAATACATCAATATCTATAGGAACCATGATCGGAAGTCTCTTCCATGTTGAATCCTGACTTCAATTTGTCTATTTGAACATCCAGTTGTATCAGTGTTATTTAATTTAATCCTGTTCTTTAAGGCAGATCACATACAGCAAAATTTCACACTAAATATAGTCATGATTACTTTAGATGAGTAATCCCAGAAGTTAAATTCTGATTTTTATGGACACCACACTTGTTCATAGGTTTGTGATTTGGGTAGAGAATGTAACATCACTCAAGAAATGATGTATTTATTTATTTAAAAATATGATTCCATCGCTACATAAGAGTTCTCATGTTTCAAAACAAGAGCTGAAAACTTCAATATAATTATTTGGATTAAAGTACCAAGCTCTGTTCCATCTTCAAGCGAAACTTTTTTTGGAATAACTAATTTGAAATTTACGTGTTTTATAAGCATATTCATTATTAAAATTAAAATTACTATGGTAACAGAGCAATTATTTTAAAAGAAAAAGAAAAAAAAAGGTGGGTGTAAGGGTTAATAATTTGTATCAATCCACAATATCAAACTGTAGGGTGCAATCAGGTTTATTATTAATATTGGTAAACCAATTGTTGACATCTTTGATATTAATCCATAATTTTAATCCAAGGTGGTTTTTAATTTGCTAAGTAATCCTAGAAAGAATTACTTGGCAAATTAAAAACCACCTTGGATTTCCTGTTTTTCTTCTGGTTAGTACAATTGTTTCTATAATTGATGTTAACATTTTTGTATCCACTATTTTTTTAGGGCTGCGTTATAAAAATTACTGTGTTGCTGGAAAATTTCTTTATTAGCGGAGTTAATGCTGATTCTATTCTCTATTGATGAGGGTATATGCTTAATTATGGATGGAAGGTGGTTTGACTTGAGGTGTATATACAAGGGGTTAGTGTTAGGTTTTCTATAAGGTGTGTTATTTATTAAATCTAGAGTTACGTGTAGGAAGTTTACCCTTTTTAATTTAGTACAGATTGTTTTTAAATTTAGATTTCTAAATTCGCTATATATAATCTTTCTAATTTTCCCTATTTTAAAATTAGTGGAACTCCTCACTACCATGAGCCCGTCATCTCTGTACAGCCCGATGTCCGTAATATCTAATTCACAGTGCACGGTCAGGTTGTACAGTATTAAAAGACTGACACAGTCAGAAGACGCTGCGGAGTCTAAAGATCCCATAGTGATGTCAAAATGGTCATCATTGTTTTTAATCCATTGGTCCCCATTATGAATGAGGACAGATTTTTTTGCACTGAGAATTATATTCGTCAGGTCAGAATACACAGCAGCAAACTCCAGGGCAGTGGTGAACAGATTCTTCGATATTGACGGGTAGTAATCCACAATATCAAACTGTAGGGTGCAATCAGGTTTATTATTAATATTGGTAAACCAATTGATGACATCTTTGGTATTAATAGGATAATTTTAATTCAAAATTGGTTTTAATTTGGATTAATTCTTTATGGATTACTTTTATCAAAGATTAAAAACAATTGGTTTAATAAATATTAATAATAAACCTGATTGCATTGATTTATTTACAGTTTGATATTGTGGATTGATACAAATTATTAACCCTTACACCCACCTTTTTTTTTCTTTTTCTTTTAAAATAATTGCTCTGTTACCATAGTAATTTTAATTTTAATAATGAATATGCTTATAAAACGCATAAATTTCAAGAATTAGTTATTCCAAAAAAAATTTTGCTTGAAGATAGAACAGAGCTTAGTACTTTAATTCAAATAACTATACTGAAGTTTTCGGCTCGTTTTGAAACATGACAACTTATGTAGCGATGGAATCATATTTTTAAATAAATAATTATATTTGGGCTCTACTTTTGTATCGAGCACCGTTTTTTAAAAATAATAACAAAAATACTAAAAGAAGTTTGGATTATTTACCCAACGAGTTCTTTCGTATTTTCTATATATTTTCACACACATTATCCAAGAACTAATAAATCTTTCAGAAAATGTCTTGCTAGTATTAAGACTTTACACAAAGGCCATAAATCTTACTAATTTTTCAATATTGGTCAACCTGTTTGGGAATATTGTACAAATATGAACATGAAATATTTTTCTAAAGGAATCACTTATCTTTTTTTTCTGGTCTATTTTTTTGGCTTCAACTGGTCAGTATTTGCCCAAAATCCAACAAGAAAACCAAATTTTAACCAGAAAATTTTATTGTTTCTGATATCTAAAGGTTTTATAGTAGTGTTTGAATATTGTCAAAGGAATTTTATATATGGCTTTTGTCTATGTATACACATCTAAGATACTGTGGTAAAAAAATTAAAAAAGTTTATCAATTGGTGGCTTGTAAAACCTTACACCCAAATCTTTTTTTTAAGTACTTGTAATTCCTAGTTGGCAACTTGTATCTTTTGTTCCTTCTCACAACTCTCCTGACTCAATGAAGGTGTGTAGCAGTTGTAGATCAGCTGTCATAGAAGGTAGATATCACTTTGTCCTGTTGCCTCACTAACAAAGGTAAGTTTTCATGATTTTTTTTTTTTTTTAATATTATATATAAATATTACAGAAATGAGTGAGCAGCTTTAAGAGTGCCCAAAAGCTGCTTGCTGGCAAAAAAGTGCACGATGCCATAAGAAATGGCAGAGCCTACCTGGATTTTGCTTTAGAGTGAGTAAGTATATATATATATATATGTGAAAATATATAGAAAATAGGAAAGAACTGGTTAGGTAAATAATCCAAAGTTCTTTAGTATTTTTGTTATTATTTTTAAAAAATAGTGCTCGATACAAAAAGAGAGCATAAGTATAATTATTTATTTAAAAATATGATTCCAACACGCTACATAAGAGGTCTCATGTTTCAAAACAAGAGCCTAAAACTTATATATATATATATATATATATATATGGCACCCACTGGTGGTTGCAATGCCAATATGTGACATTGCACTGTTGGCCCATGGTCAACTCCCAGTTGTGGTGTGAAGCTGTAAGGTTTCTTCCACCAGCATTTGAGGTTGACTCCTTGTCGCTGCCATCAACCTGCGTCCCGGTCGATCTGGTCATTTCTGGTTTGATACCAGCTTTGGCATTCCCAGCTCACTTTCGATGTCTGGTTACCGAAGTAACTACTTTGATCTCAAGTCTAACCTACCCACATTGTGACTTCGATCTTAGGTAGACGAAATCAATCAGGCGTCGGGCCATAGTGAAAGCTGAATCCGGGGTAAAAGGTGATATCACACAAGCGTAAGTAAAAGAAGCAATAAAACAAAAATCAAGAGGTTCAAATATGTTGAGAAATAAATTATCTTTATCCGCTTGTTATATACAGGAGTGTGGTTCTCTCCCAGGCCGTTTCTATGGATTTGTGACACTTTTGTGTTAAGCTAGTTTTGGTATCTTAAGTCGTTTGTCTTTTGGTAGGAAGTCGAATTTCTGGGTCAGCTTCTGCGAGGCAACACTGACTGTCCAGAAACTGAACTCCAACTGCGAATCAACTGCCAAACTGCTCGTGGATGTTTGTTTATATGGACACCGACCAAAACCCAGTGTGGGGCCTGACGTGGTTTGGGTTCCTCAATAATTCCAACAAGAATTCTTTGTTCTTAGGCCAGGAAAATTAATCACTTTTCATTTCAGGGGTTTCTCCCTCGTCCATGAGGTTAGAGGAGAGTTATCCTCCTAGACTCTTCCTCTCACATTGGTATCTCATACCAATCCCCTCAGTGAGTTTTAACAACTACTGTCTTTCTCGTACATTCACCTCTGCCTATCACCCATGCTACCACTTGACCAATGATCTCTCGGCAGTGTGGGTGTGGCTAGACTGGCCCTCTTTAAAATTATTATCCAGAATTTTGTTTACAAAATCCTTTTTTTCTTCGGCCATAACATTTTTTTCACAAACCCCAGATTGCCAAATAATTCTAATCACCTCTTTCTTTTGGGGACACCCAAACTTCACTTAGTCAGGTCTCTCTACCGACTCATCAATCACTGTCAAAACCCAACATCTGGCTTCTCTGCTAAGTCAACTTTTAATGGGGATGTCCGTATTTTACCTGAGAATCAAATTCTTTATTTTTCTCATGCCTTAAAATCCTCTTATCACCAGATGCCCATTTTCGATGACACTGTGTTTGACGTCAACAGTTTGAAAAAGCAATAATATGATTTTCTTCCACATGCCAGAATTCTAACACATACCAGATGATTTCCCTTCATTGGTCCCAGGAATCAAAATTAATTGATATCTCTGAAAGATCACTAATATCGATTCTCTCTGCCTGTATTGTAGTTGTCCGAAATTTTTTTTTATGACCGCCATGTGTTGGCTGGCTTTGTTTTTCTTTGTGAATTCTGTTTCTCTTGACGTGTCATTCCCTTACCATGACATTAATCAGTTTTGATAGAATCTCATATCTCACTTTTTCTTACGGATTTTGTCTCGTGCGAAAAGTATCTTTCTTCGTAAATAAAATAAATCTTTTTAACATCGCTCAGTCTATCTTTCGATATAGCTCTTTCTCACCTTAAGTCTTTCCTGTTTTTAATTTCTATAGTTAATTAGTTAGCCAATTACCTATATATATATATATATATATATATATATATATATATATATATATATATATATATATATTTTTTATATTTATTTATTTAAACTCTTTCAGTCCTGTAGTTATGAGTTTAGTTAATGTAATATTTTTCTATTCATGGAAATATATTGTATTTTTTGATGAAAGCATTATTGTATTGAAGAGTTTAACCTACAATTTATAATATATATTTATGCAACAAATTTATTATAATTTTCATTTCAATGAATAATTAATCTTCAGTTAAAGTTTTGGTTTAATGTATATTTTAATGGAGATTGCCTGTTATTTTTTTTTTTTAGTAGTACAATAATATATTTTTCTAATTGTACCTAACATTCAAATGTATTTTTCATAAAAGAAAAATCCTTTTTGAAGCTTTCCCCCATCTTCCATTGAAAGCTAAAGGATTAAATTCTCTACTTCTAGAAAAAAAAATACTGTGGAGTATTTGAAATAGAAATTTGAATGATTTTTTTAGTTGATTCTTCCGAAAAACCAATCAAAGCAACTATTTTAAAAATTTTTTTTAGAGAAATTCAGACAAAACTTATTTTTAACTTTTTGAAAATCCCAGTAAAATAAGATATACGTTTCTGAAATGTTACTTAAAATTTAAAATTAAATTTAAATTAATCACTTCTGATAAAACTAATATAGCATGACAAGAACGGTCTGAAAATTTAAAAAAACTTTTTTTTCATGATAAAAATTTTTATTGAGAAGAAATACTAACATTTTTTGAAAAATTTTTGAAACCTCATATTAAAATCCGAAATTTTTTAAATGTTAACGAACAAAAGCTCGATATCAGCCATCAAAATTTTAAAAATAAGTTAAATTCTTGTTGAAAGGTAAAATTAATTAGTATTTCAAAATTTATTGAAGAAAAAAATTTGAAGTTTATTTAAAAATTTTTTTTTTTGTTTCGGAGAAAAATGTTTTTAAGAAAAAAGAGAGCCGATAATTTAAAATGCTGATGACGTCTCTGTAAAAAAAAAAAAAAAGAATAGAATTATTGAGTTACTTTGTATTATTTAAAGCAAAAAAACTTTCGCCATTTCTTATATTTTTTATAACAAAAGTTTTCATCTGGAGAAATTTAATAAAAAGCTAAGATAATGATAAATAATTTTATTATTATAAAAAATTATCCCCATTAAAAAATATTCAAACATTATAGGTTATATATATATATATATATAATCCATATAAATGACTTATCTTCAGGGAAAGTTTATCTGAATCCCATGAAATGTATTTTCTGAAAGCAAACAATATGTTTTTTTAATTACATTGCCATTTTATGAACACATTAAATTGAATCTTAATTAATGTGGGTCTTCTGATTGGTTGAATAAATTTACATTTTTAATTTCAACCAAACATTACAGGACTACATGAAACTAAAAATATATTTAATTTGAAAATGATGACACGTGTTTCACAGGAACATTGCCAGAAACAATCCACATGGCGTTATTTTTACTGAATCCGTAGATTTCATTGTTTTCAAATTAATTTTATATTTTAACAACTTAAATGTAAAAAAGAAATTCTAAAATAAAGCTGTCTTTTTTAAAGAAATAACAAATAATTGTATTAAAAAAAATTCATTCAGACAATATTTCCAAAAAGCTTTTTTTTGTTTTAGAAAATATTGTCCATATTCAGGTAGAAAACAAGTAAAAAAAACAAAAAAATTTGAAATTAAATATATTTAAACTCCTCATAATTTTTATACAATTAGTTAGTAAATATTAAAAAAAAAAAATGTTACAATCTAAAAAAAAGATTTATAATTTTCATTAAAAGACAATTATTTTCATTTTTGCAAGATTTTCCAAATTTCAAAAAAAAAAAAATATATATGATTTGGTTTTCAAAGCAAAATTTACAATGTGTGCTTTTAATTTAATATAATCACTAAATTTTGAACAGTTTTGAATTTCTTTTTTAGAGTTTTTACTTATAGCATAAAATTACTTACAAGGTGGGACCTCTATGTATTAATATGTTTTAAAAAAAATGTTTGCCATGTTTCAAAAAAAAAAAAAAAAAAAAAAAAAAAATGATTAATTTCTATATCATATTTTGTGAATTGTTTATTAAAATTATTTTATATTAACATCCCACATGATTACTTTTAACAGAAGCAATTTTTTCCAAATACATTTCTTAATTAATGGGTCTTCTGATTGGTTGAAGCTATACAAAAAAATGCTAAAAATTTATTTATTAAATTTAGCTGTTTTTTATTAATTTGATACAAAATGTAAAATCTAAAATAATAAAGAAATAACAAAAATTTAAATTTATTTTTTTTTTTTTTTAAATCCAAAAGTTAGAATGTTCTAAAAAGAAGGAAAAATTTTGAAAAAATAATTTAAAAAAAAAAAAAAAAAATATGATTCTTTTCCTCTTTTAACAAACATTTAGATAGAGTTTTCATAAAATTTTCGTGGGGTTTTCATAAAAAAGTTTGGCATGTTTAAAAAAAAAAAAAAAAAAAAAAAAAAAAAAAAATAATTTCTATCATTTGGAATTGTTACTGAAAAGTTTCATTAACATAGGTATATGAATTTTTAAAGATTTTCCAAAATTAATATATAATCAAAATTTTTTGCATTGGGTGTATATTTTTTTTTTGGGGACTATTAGAATTTTCTGGAAAAAATTGAAGAAAAAATGATTAAAAAAAAAAAAAAAAAATATAAAATAGGTTATTATTCAAACATTTAGATTTTAAAATCGTGTTTTATCAAGTCATGCAAATTTTGAAATATTTCCGTGATAGTATATGAATTTTTTTTGTTTAATCATTTTCATTGGGTGTAGTTTTCTTGATGTGCAATAAGAGATCATGCAGAGTAGCATTTTGTGTGTGTGTGTGCAAAGGGGAGCAGGTGTGTGTGTGTGATGCAGGAGGGGGGCGGACTTTCATAAACAATATATTTTGCCTCCATCCAATCATAATACGAGATGGATTTGTTTTTTTTTTGTATAAAAACAATAAACCTTTACCTCCTGTAAGTTCCATTGTGCTACGTTCACTCTCAATATGTCGCTTCTTCTCTTCAAATTCTGCTATCAAGTTTTCTTTCAAGCCAAATTTCTTTTCCTGTAAAGCAAGAAGTAAATTAAAAACAAAAAAGAGAAAAGAAACTGTTAGCACAGAATTCAACTTTTCTTGTACACTTTCCAGCCAAATTTAATCTGCAAAAATTACTGTCCTCCTGTTTACTCTTTTCTCTCTCTCTGTACATTAATGTTTCTGTTCCCAATTCTCACATACCCTGTAACCCCTTGTGTCTCGGTGGCTTTACTACCCCTTGCATGGGGTGATATTAAAAAAAAAAAAAAAAAAAAAAGATTTTTATCCTGAGGACAAATCCAATAGATAGCCAGAATTTTATCACATACATAAATCTATAGCAAAAGTTTATGGATGTTTGAAGCTTGATTTTCAACCAGAAGGGCATAGTTTTAAACATTTCAAAATGATGGAACAGATTCCATAAGACTTCTGCAATCTTAAAAAACGCAGAATACTTTACTAGTAAGAAAAATTGTTACCAATAATGAACTAAAAACCTTGTAGAAAAAAAAAAAAAAAAAAAAACAAAAAACATTTGAAGAAATTTGCTTTCCTTTAGGTTTTATCATGTGTGTGTGTGTGTGGGGGGGGATGACGACAAATTAGTGCCTCATCCTGATCCTCTACTTAGTTGAATTGATAATAAATGTGGTTCTTGTCTTGTTCTGAACGCCAAGTCACCCATCTGCATCTGGGTTTTGATAATTGGCAAAGGGAGTTAGAAAGTCAGGTTGTCTGGTGGACCTTCAAAAGTTTGTTGTGCTTACCCAAAAGAAAACTAAAAACTACCTTAAGGCATGTGCTATTTTAATTACAGCTTGATGGATGGGGGAAAAGCTGAAGAAAGAAAGAAAAAAAAATACAGGAAGTTCATTGTAAGTAAACAACTAATACAGATACATCTTGACAAGGTAACAGTTTGACAATAAGAATATTTTTTTTCTCTCTACCCTTGGAGTGAATCCCTAACTTTTAATAGCAGTAGTCATAGTCACTTTGGTTCTTAGCAGTGTAGTTTAGTAATACATGATCACAGTCCCATCTTCAGTGATATGTTGCCCTGGGATCCTTAGGAGTTTTGGGTTTATCCAACATCAGATTGTCACCCAGGTTACCCCTGCTTGTGATGACCAAATGCCAACATGTGCCTGCACAATGAGCCATATGAAAATATCAAACAACATGCAAAACAAAAAAACAAAAAAAAAACAACAACAACACACACAACTCTGCACACAAGCAAACACTTTTAGGAAAGGAGAAAAATGCCTTCATACTTAATATATAATATTATCATTCTAATTAAGAAAATCTTATTACTGGATAATGCGTACTCTATTTTTATCTTGACCAGATCCAACTCTATACCTACTGAGCTGTGGTCTGGTGATAATGAGAAGAATGCTAAAGTGATAAAACTGAAAATGTAGGTATGGAAATTGTTTGCATGGTGTATCACCTAACAGCAAATTGCCTAATAGGAACAAATTGATTCAAGATGTGATTACCTTAATACTTAGTTTTAACAGTTACTTTTGAAGTAGCCTCCTTGTAAACCAATGCACTAGCTCACAAAATGTAATGTCGAAGTCCATACAACAAACTGTTCAGTAATCACTGAATTCTTGGGTAGTTCCTTGTTTTCTTGTGTTTAAATTAACAATGGCATATTTCCTTGAGAGCTTTGGTATTTTTTTTTTTTACTATTAAAATCTATTGCTGGAATTTTTTTTTTTTTTTTTACTATATATACTTATTTTTATACTTTCATAGTATTTTGACCCCAGTTTGGGGGGGGGGGTTCACTATTTGTCCATAGCCAGGATCCTAAAGGGTGCTACCATCCAAGGTCAGAGTGGACCTGGGAACAACAGCAATTAAGAGGTGGTTCTACACTCTTCAAAACCTCCCAGAGACCTTGCTACCAGATGTAGTTTATCATCATACCCAGGACGAAGTATGCGCAGTTAGTCTAATAGTCACAAGTGTGCAAATTCCAGCCTAGTCTGTTATTTCACACTAATGCTCTTGAGAGACGTATGAATTCATCTCTTCACCACAGATATTGGGTTTAAATAGCAGGGTAGACTAAGCTCCCTAGCCTTTGTTGGCAACCAGTCTAGTGATGGTGACCTGACAAAAAGGCTCACTCCCCAGTAGCCTGGCCCACTTGTGATCAGGATACATACAAAGTAACTGGAATTGTTAAGTCATGTAAGCTTTTATTATTATCTATTTATTTTATTCACTTAGGCCAGTTTTTTTAATATATAAATTAATTGAATGGTTAAATGATACTATGATTAGAGTAGATACTTCCACTAATTTGGTATAAATTTTTGATACCTAAGGTTTAAAATGAATTTCTAAAAATGAAAAAAGCATTCTTGATTTTATTTTAGCTTTAACTGAAAGTTAATGGATTAAATTTACTATTTCCAGTAAGTAAAATATTCTGGTGTATTTCAAATAGAAATTATATAGAGCGGAATCAACTTTTTAGCCGATTTAAGAATATTTTATTAAAAGTGGCCATTTTCTCAATTTTAAGAAATTTGTAAACAAAACAAAATTATCGATTTAAAATTTTTTCCAAAAATGAAATATATATTTGTGACACTTTATTTGAGTAAAATTAGCAAATTTAAAGTTAAAATCAATCTTTGAAATAAACATTACTTACAGCATAAAAAGTAATATACAAGCATTTCTTAATGATAGGTCCTGTTTTACTTTCATCCTTATTGACATACCAATAAGTTCCATGGTGATGACAGCTACTGTGGATGACCCAGAAGTGACAAATTTACAAAATCTAAGTGAATGCAATTTTTTTTTTTTTTTTTTTTTTTAACTACCTAGTAGTTTTTTTTATTTTTTTTTTACAAATTAACATATTTTCAACAATTATCTAAGATTTTATTGACATTTAGTTACAGTTGAAGATGCTTCATGAAAAAATAAATTTAAAGTACTATAAAATTTTCTTAAATTAATTTTAAAACTTAATAACAGATGAAATTAACATAGATAAGCAAGAAAATTAACAAATTGATCTGGAAATTTTTTTTTATAGTAATTAAGATATTGTTTTATCATTAATAGTTAATAAATTTTAATTAACATTAACTAAAAGACATTTTTGTATTCAATCCAAGCATGTGACAGTTTCATGATTATGCCATATTTAGGCTATCATAGATGAAAAGAGGGAACAATTAAAGTAAAAATAATAATATAAAATTTTAAATATAGAATAGTAAAATGATGTTTATTAATCTTTTCAATTTTGGATTTGTAAATTTCATTTCCACTTATTTGCAATATCACATACAGGAAAGAGTAATACAGAATTTTAAACAATCTTTGAACTATTATAAATAATTTTAATTAAAATTTAAAAATGAAAAAAATTCATTATTTGAAAATTTTTTATTTCTTCAGACAATATAACTTATTTACAAAAGCAATTACAAGTTTTTCTAATTAAATAATTAGATAGTTTGATTACATTTTTTTTTTTTTATCATTCAAAGCAGATTTTCAGTTAGAATGATAAAAGTTTGAAAAAAAAAAAAAAAAAATTTTTTTTAAATGATTTACATTCTCCAAGGAACCTTTTAACTAATAAAAAAAATCCTGGAAATAAAAAGGAATTTCACAAAATTTCATGAAATTAAGTGGTGGGCAATGTAAAAAAAAAAAAAAAAAAAAATTTTTACCAAGATTTTCTAAAACAAAAAATTTAAAAAACAATTTCATTCATTTGTTAAAATAAGCCCTGAAAGTTTCATTAAAATACAAAAATAATTTGATTTTTGGAAGAATTTCCAAATGTGTTTCCACAGGAAAAAAGTAACTAATTATTAAGTCCACTGCTGATGTAAACAAAAAATTTCAAACATGCTAGAAAAGATAAAAAAAACCAAAAAAAAAAACCTACTTTTGCGTTTTCTCTTAAACATTTTGATGGTAAAACTTTGTTTTATTAAGTTTGTGGCCTTTTTCATTATGTGGAGGTGGGGGCCATGTTGCTGACACTAGAAAATTTTTGTGTCTCATCACTTTTCTTATTTAAATTCAAACTGGTGGGTTTATCACTAGACAACCTAGCATCATTAGAGAGTCAATATCACAAAGTTCATTGTAGCTTTAAAATACTCTAGTTATAATAAATACAAGTAGGCAAACATCACAAATAAAACCTGACAATCATTAGACAACTACCTATAGTAAAAAGTAATACCACAAATAATTTTACAGTGGACAGACTAAACTTATAGCTTGATTATCTAAGAGTAACTGTCTACTATTTACTGACTTTATAATTAAATGGCTTAACTTTTCTGCTTGATGAATCCCAAAGAGGATTGGGGTTGGAAAGAAGAAAAATCCAGAAAGACTTACTTCAAAATCTTTTACAGCTGCTTGTTTCTCTTTGATCCATTCACGATCTACAACAGCACGCTGAAAAATACAAACATTTTTGGTTTTTATTAAATTTGATCAACTTCTATGGAAAATAAAATTATTTTTAACTGACTTGGTCATTTCCCAAATAGATTTCTGCTTTGCTACTGTCAAGTGTTCTTTCAATATCCAACTGGCTAATTCTACAAATGTTTGCAAGGAACAACACTGGACAAAGTTTTATAAGTAAGCATCTTTAAATTGAGCCAGTTTTGAAGAAAATTATTTAAAAATGTTAAATATTCTATATTCACATGCCTGAAACAAATCAAACTTGTGTCATAAAATATTATAACTTCTGTACCATAATTGTTATTACACTTGCATACAAGTTTCATACATTAAATGTACCAACTATTATGAGACAGAGGCAGTAACTTTTATTAATGAAACAGATAAAACCATTGCTTGCAAAACTCCATAAAGGAAGTGAAATTACCTCATACTCCCACCACACTTCATTGCTCATCAGCCGGTCTCGGTACTGCTGTTCAATTTTGCAGTTCTTTTTCATGAATTCAGGCAGCACCCCATCTTGCAGTTGTTGCAATTGTTTTTTGATCTGAAGCAACTTATCTTGGTACATCCTGTAATAAAACAATGGATAAGATTAAAGAGGAAGAATGAAAAAAAAAAAAAAAAAAAAACACACACATTCATGGATTTCCCTCAAACCATGGACTAATGTCCTCATCTCTGTTATGATCACAACATTTCAGCTTTTATGTACTCTGCACTTCTTCAGGTACATGTCAATTAGAGTAACTATCAGGGAATTTTGAAGTGAACTCATTAATCTATTTAGATTATTCTCTTTCTGTTGTCTACGTCTAGATATCTCATCTTGCTTTTAGTACTGCTCAGTTTGCCTTGTTGCCACTCAGTTTGTACTATTCAAATCTGTGATGCCAGTAAGATAGATGAGCAAGTTGACTGTAGATAACCATTCATACCAGAAATTCATTTTTTTTCTTCTCTATAAAAGGCAACAATGAGTACTAGTCTTTTTCAGACAATGTATTTTTGGGATTAAGTTTTTGACAAGTTTCTCTTTTCTCTTGCTTTTCATGATGCAACATCCTACAATTTTTTTTTTTTTTTCAAGTAAGCTGCATGAATTTGGAATAAAGTAAAACAAGATTTTTTTTATTTGTATCACTCTTCTCGTAGCCTGTCTGACTATAGCTAAGGCTTACTGGACTTGTAATTATTTACTGCACTTGAATTACTAGTTTGGATTCTATACCTTTACAAAGGATACATTATAAGAACAGATGATTAAATTAGTTTATGGTTTGTATAAAAAGGTATTTACTCAAAAGTTGAGATTAAAGAATATGGCCATAACCTATAGATTTGTAAGATGCATAATGAAAATTCACTGAAATAAACTCCAATTGGCTTGTAAAAAACAAATAATTAAAAACAATTTTAAACCAGAACCAAGAACACTTCCAGCACTTGTAAATCCATAATCACATACCAGAAAGACTTTTTTATACTGATTTTAGTCAAAATAGCCAGGGCTGTGGAGTTGGAAGCAATTAAGGGGTCACTGGAGTCAGTAAAACTATATCAACTCCAGTTGAATTTACATTTTATTTAAAAAAAGTCTTGCATTATAGAATTTTTATTGTTATTTCTTCTGTATATTTACTATTTCCTTTAAAGAAATTTATCAACTTTTTTTTTGTAGTTATTGTGTATTTGAAAAACTACATATAGAAAAGAAAAGAAAAAAAATCTTATAATTTTTATTGTCTTTTACACCCTGTAAGATTATATATGTAAAAAGTCTTACATTATAACATTTTTATTTCTTTTTCTATATCCTTTCAAAGAATTTGTCTAATTCTGTTAGAAAATATTGAGGAATGAATAGGTATGATATAAAAGGCACAATATTTTTTTGATATAAACCAGTTTTAATGATATATGCCTATTCAAGTTAGGAGTGTATGCATAGGTTTTATGAGACTTGTAGGCCATAATTACTTAATTACATAAAAGAGTAGTTGGAGGTTTTGTGTTCAGATTCCACAGCTTCGCAAATAGCCTTTAATATTTCCTTGTAGAATAATTTCATAGTCAATAGTCATACTAGCAGATCTAGTTTCTTTCTAAATTGCAACACTAATGTTTAAAAGGTTTAGTTTTTTCTTTTTGGCATGTTTAGTGTAATATTTCCGTAATAAGTTGTGATTCTACAAATACTAATGTCTCCTGTGACTATTGCAGAGCTCTAATATAAAAAAAAAAAAAAAAAAAAAAAAAAAAAAATTATTCTTTCTGAAATAGAAAGATCATTTCTGAAATTGAAGAAAGAGGAAAAGTAAAATGTAGTGCTGCAGAAAGCATATTACTGACTAATACAAAAAAAAATTCCAGTTTGGAGGTGGGTGAGGTGTTGCCAAAGATTACAGAAAATCTAAGCTTCAAGTATTAAGATTTCTCTAAGGGTCATAAAATGTTTAAATTGTAATCTGAGTGGTGTCATCTTAGCATAGGCAAAAAAAAAAAAAAAAAAAAAAAATTAGTAGGCATTTAGATTAACTAAAAAATTAAAATGGTAGCTGGCTGACTTACTGTTCTTTGATTTCTGTGTATTCTTCCTCCCGTTTAACCATGTCAGTCTCACTAGCATCTTCTGTGTCTAAAAAAAAAAAAAAAAAAAAAAAAAAAAAAATATTGTCAGAAAAAGTCATTTTTGCTCTTCAAAAAATATTCAATTTAACTTACTTCAAAAGTTAATTTTTCTTAAACAAATTTTCTATTTGGTAATAATTTTCAGTATATCCTAAGAAAAAAAGTTATATTTTTAAGAGAAATTTTGTAATATTTTAGATGAGAAAATATTTGAAGAAATGCTCCAAAATTGGGTATGACTAAATTGTCCAGCATTCAATATATAAAAGGATTGATATTCCATAGCAGTTCAGCACCGTTTGTTTCTAACCATATTTTCCTATCTCTTAATACTTTGCTTAGCTTATGAAAGGTATAAAGAGATTGTTCAGCATTCACTGCCATATAGGAGGATTGATATTACATAGAAACAGAGAAGAAAGCTGAACTTGTAACAAAATTCTATGTCTTAATACCTTCTTCAGATTTTAGAAGGCATCCTTTGCTATCCAATGTGCTTTTGAATCTGCAATACATTTTCCCGTGTGTCACAAAACTACCTAAGATAAATTTAACTTCTCTACCATTTGGATTCTGAGGTTTAATTTGTAGCTAGCATCTTGGGCTGTCTCTCTTATTGATGAACATACATCATCTTACAGTTAATAGTCCTTCCTTCTTGCTTTCCTTTACTACCTTGTCTAAGAGCTCTTGCAGTTTCCTGTCAGAGCAGACCATCAAGCATCATCTGTGTTTCTTGTGCTATTAAGATTACTGTATATACTCAAATATGTCAACTTTTATGATCAGATTTTTATGCAAAAAATAGGAGTGGGGGACACTATACACAGTAATTTTTTTTCTTTTTGAAGGGGTTAAAAATCATGCATTTTAGGTGATCAGTTACATTATACATGGGTATTTTTTTCTGAAGTGGTGTAAAATTAATGCAAAAAAAAATTTAAGGATTGCACTATACATGATGTTAGCTTATATATGAGTATATATGTCATGTCTGCCAATGATAAATCCTGCTAGGTCTTTTAGGATTACCATGCTGACTTGGTTGAATTAATCTAGTGAGAAGGTGCCTCAGTTTTTACATCTCTCCATGTTTTTGCATGCTTGCTAAACTAGTTTTTGTATGCATGCAATTGGTTTGTTCACAGTAAATGTTTCTGAATATTCTAATATCTACCCCCTGCCCACCAATAAATTAAGTTTTCCTAGCAGTTCAAATAGACCCTCATGTTGCACCTTATCAAATGCCTTTGTGTAATCTATGAAAGCATGTCTTTCTGTATTTGCACTGCCTGCTCTGACAGCATGCTTATAAAGATCAGCCTTTCTTGTTGCTGTATTTGAACAAGACCACAATGCTCCTGCCCTATTTTCAGTCTAATTCCACAAGTAACTATCCAAAACTGCCCTAGTTTACAGTGTAAACACGTCAAGTAGTGAATTTTCCTTCTATTTCAACTGCTGATATGTCATTATTTTCAAGGTTATTTCGATAAAATCAGCATGGAAACAAAATTTAATCTTTTTTCTTTCTAAAAACAATTCTTTTTCATGTGTAACGATTTATTTTTATTCCATATCTCTAAATTACATCACTATTACAATGATGAACAGTGATTTTTCCATATTTTCAAAGTTGATTTCATGGTGTTTTCCAAATTAGTTACGTTCAGATTTGTGTGCGTACCCATATCAAAAGTCTCATCTTAAAGAAAAAAAAAGAACACTCATCAATTTGGTGGGTGAACAATAAGTTTGAAAGTTGTCTTTCACAAAAAGTTCTAAGTACAACAGAGAAATTCAACACTTAAAAATATGAAATTTACACCTTGCAAAGCAATGTCACATCCTTAATAAACACATACAAACATACAGTGAATAGAGCCATTTCATTGAATTCCTCGTCTAAAAATTAGTAAAATTTCATACTTTTTAATGGCAAGTTCAGTATGGTATACTTTGGAAAAAAAAAAATTAACACTGGTAAAAGTTGTAAGGCATTAACTGTTGAAATGAAACTTCTATTATCAGTCATATCATTATATTTTATCTTTGAGAATGTAATTTTCAGAATAATTATTGATCCATTAGCATTATCTTTCTTTTACTTCAAGACTACCTATATGACATTACATTTATAATGATTTAACTTATCTGAAGCATGCATCTTCAGTTATACACTGTTAAAATTAGTTTTTTGTCCAATAGCACGTTTTTGTGAACTTTGAATGGCCATAACTTTGTTGCTAAATAAACTACCAAGATAAATTTGGTACCATTTTCTATGGTTCAAGATCTATGTCTGTATTAAAAGGCTTGTTGAAAAAGTTTGAGATACCTACTACAAGCCCATTTCATTAGAATCCAAATAAGCTTAGCTATGTAGCTCATTAAACTTATCTTTCAGTTCATTTTCATTCGCACTTGAGTTCTGTGCTATTCCTTGGCACTGTTTACGGTCACTTTTTTCAGATTCCCCCCCCCCCATTTCTTGGGATGATCTTGTTTTCTGAGGTCACCGAAGCATTCCTTAAACTGTTCCACTTTGAATTCCTCATCTCTTCTAAGATGCTCTTGACTATATCGACAGACATCTGTTGCATTTATAATTTTATAAAAATATCAATGAATTACTGTTAATTCTCAAGAATAAAGAAAATCCATAAATCCCCTTTCATATATTTGGATTTTATTAAAATTCTAAATCATTGCTTTTTAAAACAATAGTGATGGGTCTAAAGCGTATATAATAATAATAATAATAATAATAGTGTTGGAGAAATGACCATACTTTTGACACCATTTTTTTTTTGGGGGGGGGCACTGCCAATAAACCAATTATTTTTGACAGGTACTATTTATTATTTAAAAGATAAGTGAATGCCTAATAATAGTAAGGACTTAAAATAAAGCATTTCTTCACATAAATATATAGAGGGTGGTGAAAGGTTTGTTGTACCAAGAACGTTTCAGCACATGCTGATATATTTCCGAATTTATGCTGGGTTCAATTATGATTGGCTGTCTTATAATTTGCAGTACTATTCCAAGTTGGCTGGTTTCTTTTATTAACACTCAAATACAGTTGAAAGGTTTTGTTTCAAAATTTGTGTTTTTTATTTTCCTGACCAAAGTTAAGCAATGCTGAGCTTGGTCAGTACCTGGATGGGTGACCGCTTGGGAATACCACGTGGTGTAAGCTTAGATGTATGAGTAGTGTAATGGATAATGGCTCGGAATTGTTAGTTGTAGAGACAGGTTCCAATTCCTGTTGGGCTTGTTATATTCACTTATTCACAAATACTCCTGGGAAAGGTAGGACTCCACCACTTCTCCTCCAGCAATGGATTAATTAGTAAGACATGTATAACTAAATCATTGTTATCTCAAATTTTGCAATTTAAAAATATTTTCTGGCTTGAAAAGCCATAGATAACAAGTCAATTTCCTGACTAATGAGAATCCGGTACTTAAGAATATACAAACTTTATAACTGAAATCTCAAGAATTGTTTGTCAGGGCTTTTTGGCTTTTTTTTTATCAATGGAATTTACTTGGTGACATAGCCACATCATCATTCATATGTGAAGAGAAATTATGATAACTCTACATATATATTGTTAATAATAGTAAAGTTACAAATTACTTGGTAGTATTCAAAGTATAGGTAGTCATAGATAGGTAGTTTTAATATTTAATTGAAACATTTTTGATAGTTGGTTCTGGATACAGCACCAAATAAAAGATTATGAATGGAGACAAGATGCAAGTAACATGGCCTTTAAAGAATCTTAAATGGTTTTTGAAATAATACTGAAGCATAGAGTTATATGCAGTGAATAGGGGATAATGTAGAAAAATAAATATTTGCTTTGGTAAAAAGGATTTTTTTTATCATGAAATGACAAAAGCTAGTTTCCAAAGAATCGCATGATGCAGACAAAAGGAAGCTTAACTACAAAGACACCATATACGTTCTTGATAATGACTGCAAAAATTGAAAGTACTTTAACAAAAATAGCAAAATATGAACTTTAGACAGTTTATCCACACAATATTCAACGCCTTATCAGAAAATTGGAAAAATATAATAAAATTTGAACAGACATAACTTGTCGGTTCTTTTTAATCAAACTTGTTTGGATGAAAACTTGCTGCCTAAATATACTGAGCGAGCGAGTGAGTGAGAAATACCTTAATAGTTGTAATGTTTTGTTCTAATTATAAATTCACCCTGAATCCTATAGAGTAACTAGATTTTTTTCTGTCAGTGTTTTCAAAATTTGAAAATGATCACTTGGTTCATTCTACTGCACAATTTTAATATTTGATTTTACAATAAAAAAAAATTCTGCAAGTAAATAAAAAATTGTTTAATATATTGTAGAAACAAACAAAATGAAATTCAGTTGCTTTGAGTTGCTTTTAGGTGATAGAGTTTGGCAATTTAGTCAGATTTAGAAATGTTGGGCCAAGAAAGTTTCAGTACCCCTCATACATTATGTGAAGAGTGAAAGAGTAACAGTAAATATTTCAAGAATAAATGAAAAAGAGGAATTTGATATAAAATGAATCCAGAAATATTTCTGAAAATTTTTCAAAATCAAATTATTAGATCATTGCAAAAGTTTGTGCCTGGTTAGAAAATTAACAAAATTTTACATACTCATAACAAAAACAACACAAAAAGAAAAATCATTTATTAGTCAAGTATACAGTCTTCCATCATTCTACAAGCTTGTTGATGTCATCTTTGTAGAAACTTTGAGAGGTTGTTTTTGACTGACTGTAGAGAGCAAAATTTTTTGCCATTTAAATTGTTCTGTAGAGATTGAAACAAATAAAAATCCAGAGGAGCCAAGTCAGGAGAATAAGGTGGGTGCTGGAGGGTTTCTCATTTTAACTCTTTAACCTCTTGCAAGGTCTGTTTTGCAACATGCAATCTTGTGTTGTTGAGGTGGAAAATGATTTACCAAAATAGACAGTTTCTCTTGAATAGCCGTATTG